TTTGTCATTTTGTTCTTGTATTTTCTTCCAAAATTCTTGTAAGGTTTTTTCTGTGTTTTCTTTGGTCTGTCTCTCAGTCCTTTGAAGATACCTAAAGATAATTCTTTTGAATTCGTTATCAGACAGTTCCAATGCTGCTTCTTCCTCAGGGCTGTGTTCTGGGTCTGTATCCTGCTCTCTTGTTTCTACCACTTTATCCTGGTTCTTTGTGTGGACTGTGAAAGTCTGTTGTCTCTGAGGCATCGTGGCATTGTTGTACTTAGATCTCTGTTAACTGTTTGTGAAGAGCAGTCAAGGGTTATTCCAGCTCTTCTTGGTGGTTTCTTATTGTTGGCCTGTTGGTGGAGAAGGAGGTAGTGGCTCTCACTCAGTAAGTGAAGTTGCAGGAGGTGTGGTGTAGTTGTGCCTTATGGGGACTGTTGTCTCCCACTCAATTAGATACAAATTACAATTGAATAACCTTCAAAGAACTAAAAGCACAAGGACAAAAGACACACCATGTAATCACACAGGAACAGTAACCAAAAAAAGAAAAAAGGGAAAAAAAGAAGAAAAAACAAGAAAACCTGCAATATCTGGGGATAGGGCATTAAGAGAAAAAAAGTAGAGAAGGAGAATAATGAAGGAAAAAAATGGTAAAAATGAAAAAAGAAAAACAAGGAACAGGGTTAACCATGAGAAAAAAAAGAGGGGGGGGAACCCCAAAACTTAAATTAAAAAAAAAAAAAAATTCAACCAGGAACAGGGAAAAGAAAAAATACTGAAAACTAGGACCTGGGAGAGGAAGATTAAGAATAAAAGTAAAAGGGACAAAAATATTATTAATAATAGTTATTTTTAAACAGACAAATACAAGCAAACTAATCACCCCATAAAAGAAAGTGAAAAAGAAAAAAATAAAAATAAAAAAAGAGAGAGGAAAAAAAAATCAGTGGAGGACAGGGCAGGGCACCCAGGCTCCATCTGAGCACACAGACTGTGATGGAGTTCCTGTGGCCCAGAAGGTAGGTGAGAATGGGGGATGGCCACACCTCCACAAGAGGAATGTTGTACTTTTTCAGTCTTGCAGGTCCCAAGAGTCCTTGGGGTTGCTGGAAAGCAGAACGTGTTCTTAAACCCCAGGAATCTGCGAGAGTTCTGTCTCTTTAAATATCCAAAATAACCGCTTTTAGACCTTCAATATGGTGGCACCCTCTGGTCTGGCAAAAGTTCACAGCTCAGCCTGAATTTCTCTTCACCTTCTTCATTTATTCCCCAGCCACCAGAGCAGTCCTCCGTGCAGTCCCTGGCTAGCAGGGCTGATTTTTAGGTTAATTCTCAAGTCCTACCAGCACTCGGGAATTTCCAAGCTGTCTGTGCCGTCAGGATCGCTCAGGACTCGCTGCCAGACCACAGCTCCGTATGTCTCCTTTTTTGGTATTTTCATGCAAATTCTTCTGCTAGTTGGGGTTTAGTCCACTTCTATATCCTTCCCTTCAAGGCTCAGGGGTCCAGGATTATCTTCTTATCTGTGTTAATTGGTTTCCCTTTTCTTTGTTGAAGAGGGTCTGTGCAGTCTTTCTGCCTAGTCTGCCATCTTCCCAAGATACCCATAATGTTTCTTTAGATGAAATGACAGTCCACATTGAACTGCACAACACAGATATTTTATACATTTATAATATATATATCTATTATACATTTCCAAAACAATGCCTATTGAAT